ATATATATATATAAATTAAATATGTAAATATACACTGTAAAATGTTGTAAATAAGTAAGGAAAATACTATTTCAGTTTTTCTACTTCAAAATTTCATGCTTAATACAATGTGTTACTTGGCTTTTTTTGTAGTTGTTTGTGAAATTTACTAGCAATTTCTGAGAAAAATAATTCAATGACATTTTTTTTCAATGTTTAAATAGTTTTTTTAAAAATAGTTTTAGGCCAGTTTTGCTCTATGTCTTGAATGATTTTTAAAAAAATTTAGCCTACTGGCGAGGTGTTTTCTTCTTGTTTTAAGCATAAACATCACAAAATTGTGTTTTGTTGATCACAAATTTGGTTTGTTTTCTCATGGAGTGCATCTTTAATTTGTTTAACACACTGAGATAAATTTCCTTTCCCTTGCACACAAACCTGATCCACGTTGCATCCAATATTGATCGTTTTGGAATATCCTCTCTAATCACACCGAAAATAGGAAATAGATTAAATTAAGGATTTCTTTTGGACTTGCATCTGTGGCTTTGTTTAAAATATCATTTGCATTCTAAACGTGCTTTGCAGATGCGCACGATTACAGCGAGACAGATACTGATGGCTCCTTTCAGAGACCCCCACTGGTCGTAACACTCTGTGTAATGGAAAATGAAATGTGCATGTGGTTTAAATTAATTATGAGCAACCCAGAGTGGAGAAGAAGATCCCTCTCAAGTGAATCTGATACTGAATGTTGTATTCCTTTGCTGCTTATCATTTATTTCATTTGCTGCATACAGATCTAATGTGACCGCTAAAGCATGGAGGAAACTAATAGTTGTTTAATTCATTGGCAATACAAGTGTGAGAAACTTTTTTAAACGTAATTGTGAAAATTGCCATTGCAGATATAATTTTTATCTGCAGCACCAACAAAATGTGGTTCAGAAACCTGATGCTTGCCTTAATGATAAATCTTGTGTTGGATGCCAATATTGGTTTGTGGGCGGCATGGCACTCATGCAGGGTTGACTTTGTGGTTACAGGTCGTGAACTTAAACCTCATTTAGGTGATGTCAGTTTCCATTTGATCTCAGACTTATGGCCTCTACAGGACTCTTCTCAGAGCTCAAAGGTCTTGTCAGTTTAATCAGATTTTGGAGGCAGTGAAAACAAACATGTTGTCTAGTGAAGAATCTAAGGAAAAATGAAAAGCTTCTGCCAGTGACCTTTAATCCACGATCACAGAAAGACCTCCAAAAGACCCTCAAAGATAACAGACGTATATCAACATGAGTCCTGCACTAAATGTAAAAAAATCTCACAGACTCAGGCATATTGTTATGTGATTTTCATAATCTGTACTGTATATATATTTTTTCGGTTTTCCACATTGTAAAATATGATTTTTCTGAAGTTGTAAATAAAACAAAGATTATGTTTTACAAGAAAATACTATTTCAGTCTTTCTTCTTCAAAATGTAAAGTTTATTTGTTATTATTTGTGAAATTTACTAGCAATTTCTGAGTGACAGTTGTTTCAAAGTAAATCCTACACCAATTATTTTCAGTGCAGTGAAAATATCCAATTAATATCCTTAAAGGGGTCATAGGATGCTACATGCACTTTTACAAGTTGTTTGAACTGAAATGTTTGTTGGCAGTGTGTGTACACAACCACCCTATAATGATAAAAATCCACCCAGTGGTTTAAAAAAAAATCTGGTTAAATGTTTTCCCCTTTCTCAAATCGAGCCGATCTCAGATGCCTGTCTGTGTGACGTCACACAGACAGGCCCCTCCCACGATCGTTTGATTGACAGTAGCGTTTCAGCACAGACTGGACTGGTGTCTTACCTTAGACCCGCCCTGAGTGACTGTCATCAGTCCGCCATTGTTTCACCACCGGAGCAGATGTGGACAAGAATGACTCCTAAGCGATTGAGGTGTTCTGTTGTTGGATGTAATAATGAACATAGCAGTTGTCATTTACTCCTGACATGTGAGCCGCTGAGCTCGCAGTGGATTACATTGTTTCTGAAGAGAATGCGCCCCCGATCTGCCTAAATGCGTCTATGTTCACGCGAAGAAGTGAGTATAATGTCTTGTAATGAATCTTTGCAAATCGCCTTTCCTAATAATGTGCTAATTAGCAAGTTTCACGA